ATATTGCAATAAAGACTGTTTTCTTTAGCCTGAACTGCCACAGGCATGTAAATAAGTTCTGAAAGTGGCTGTATTTCTACCTAAAAGGAACAAAACCCAATCAAACAAACAAACAAAAAAACCCCAAATGCCAAAACCAAGAAAGACTCAACTGTAGTTTCAACTGTAGTTTTTCAAAACTATTTGAAATTCAGGTGTGATTCAAGGGGATGAGTTAGCTAAGGTGCTTATTTTATAAGTCAGTCTTTTAATTTTGCGGAATTGTGATAGACTTTTACACAACCAGATGAAACCGTTGACATAAAAACATCTACTTTGATATTCTTTGTTAAAAACAATAATAATTAAACAAGGTCTGTGCCAGTTTCTATTATCTGCCCAACCTGTGGTATTCTTTCTCACAGTCCATTAGTAATTGATGAGATGAGGACAAATACACTCAACAAAACTGTAGTTGTTCAATAATTTATTGAGAAGAAAATAATGTAGTTTTATGCGTAGAATATAATATTCCTTATTATTGCTGGAATGTGTTAGCGTATTACATTGGAATTAAATTGGTTTGTATCCAGAGGTCTTACGAATATTTGATAAGTAAAGAAGAAAAAATAAAAAGTAGGTTTGGGGTGATAGACAAGGAAGAGTGTCTCTATGGGGTAGCGTATTATTAAGTTAGTGAAACGGGCCTGATGGGACATAGGTATTTTTATTTTTTAATTAAATCTCTAAGTCAACCAAAAATAATCCATTTATTGAGATTGTTTCAGTTTCTTTACATGTTTGGGAAGGATAGATTCGCTCTTTCTAAAATAGTACCCTTTTTTAAAAATTCATTCTGTCATCTGTATGTGAGGGCCGGTTCACTGTATTAAGACTATTTTTAAAAAGATTTTTAATGGACTGTTCAGACAATAAAAAATGGTGTTTGTAGATCAGAGTTCAATACCCAAGAACCTTTGAAAAGGCATGCAGACATAAAATTTTAGAATGCATAAAAAGGAGAAAAAAATAACACTGAAGTTGCTATACTGCAGTAACCTTTCATTCTTCTCTAGGGCATACCCTGGGCACGGTCTTTAAAACAGGATAGATAATAGCAATCTCGGGCTAAGCAGAAGGGGTGATTGCAGGGTTCAAAAGGCAGTGATAAACAGTTATTTGGTGACATTTGGATTGGTTATTCATGCAGCTCTCCTCCCCTGGCGCTGCAGGGCAGAGCCGGGTGCCTGCCTGGGGCTCAGGGGGTGGGCCATGAGGGCTTTTTGCAGGAACTGCTTCGCTATTAATTAACCAGGTAACAGAAAGCGACTTTTTCTTCGTCTTCTAAACGTAGCAGACTGTAGATTGAAAACAAATGACTAGATTTTGATTATTCTGATTTCATTAAGCTTTTTCAGTGATTTAGTATTTTTAATAGAAAAAAGAGAACTATCTTGTGTGTGTACCGAGTAGAGGAAAAAAAAAAAGAACCCGAAAGCCTTAGCAGTCTGGAAAAGTAGTTTATGACTCAAGTTTAACATATCTAGTGTGTTAAAATGTGTAGAAATATATTATGATCTTAATGAAAAATCAAAGCAAAAGTCTTACTCGTAGAAACATAGTTCTTAATCCAGATAATATATCCGTGCGTTACAATACACTATTTAAGACGTTTACTATGATTTTATTATGTAAGAGTTTCCTTTGGCAATGTTATTTCAGTAAAATCAGTTGCTGAAAAATAAATATTTTATGACAAGAATAATGTTACAGTTAAGATTCTTATACTAAATTCAAGGAATGATTGAAAACTAATACTTTGGCATCTGTTTTTGTCATGCTTCATAATTACCGCTGATATTGAACGTATTTTTCAAAGAGAAGTCACAGTTTACTGGGATGTAACTAAAAATATGAGCTATAACTTCTTTCTTTCAGAGTATAGTATTGTCCTGCTTATCTATAAAACATCAAACTGATTCCATAAACATTTGTTGTTGGGAATGAGATCATTTCAGCCATTTGAAAGTGCTAGTGATGTCATTGGAAATGGATTCGGTAGATGCAGAAAAACTGGATTTGCTGTAACTGATACTCTTCGGTTACAATGGAGTAGTAACTAAATAGTATTTTAACAGGAGCAGTTTTATTCCTTGGAAATTCTACAAATACTATAATGGTTTCTACATCTTTAATACTTGCAAAAATGTATTGATTTATCCTTTCATTCTTCAGTGTTGTCTTGTTTACTTACCAATTTAAATACTAAGTAATTAATCCAGAATTATTGCCATCCTCTTTGTTTTCCATTATGCATAAATTAAAAAGAAGCAAAACCTGCAGCTAAAAATAAGGTTAAAATAGTTCTTCTTCTTCTCTTGATATTTGCTGGTACACCCGCATCCTGGAATCTTTCGTGGGAGGACTGTGTGCTTACAGAAAGGGAAACCATGACAGGAGGGACAGGTAGCATTAAAATCCAATCACAGACCAGGTCATCCAGAAGGTGTAACAGCAAGTATTTGGTCCTCTTGTGTAGATAACAGAAAAATTGTATGACTGTACTACTGAGGCCCCCCCCCCCAAGCAATTTTGTATGCATCAGTGCAATACCAAAGGCAAATCCTGTGGTGCCCAAAGGAGTGTGTGACAGCAGTTATCTCCTGGTTGTGCTACTAGATGTACACTTGTATGCTAGGTGATTAGATCTGAGGAGATACTCTAGCCATCCTCTCATTAAGACCTCTGTACCTTTGTGGAAAATAGAGCGGTGTGATGCAGGGAGGTGGAGAGTCTGGGCTAACCAGCTGTTGACCTGCCTTCACCAGCTAACCTGGTGAGCTGTGGAATCGCTTTGCCCCTGGTCTGCTCATGGGGACAGCCATCCTTGAATCGGCATTGTGAAGGGGAATTGGGAGCTCCAAGAGCAGTCAGACTGTCATTTCCCAATAAACCCCTCTGTTTCAGAGTCATCAAGCAGAGGTACTGCTGGAGACAGACTATGGCCTTAAACTCTCAGGTGAATGTTTTGACTGTAAGAGCCTGGTGAGGCAACAGAGACCTTGATTTTACCATGAAACAAAAGGATCAGGAGAAAGGGGGAAAGGAAGCATGACTTCCAACTGCTGTTCATGTGCAGCCGTCCAGAGGGCCGTGACTGAGCAGAAAGGAATTCACGGGGGGGATTGTGGCCTGTGAGCATGGTTTGGTGCTAAAGCCGGAGATTCCAAAAGCTGGGAAACTGGACAGAGAAGTGAGCGCTGACATCAGCTAGAAGAGGGAATGGCTGGGATGGCATTGTTGTAATGTGCCACGGGTTTTACTTTTTCCAAAAGCTTTAGCCTGCACCAATACAGTGTGTACCACACAGCATCAAAATACTGTCTTCTAGCAGTGTGTGTGCGAGACACTGGTCCATGCCTAGAGCTTCTGTGTCTCACTGCTCTGAGATTCTTCTCTCTGGAACCCAGATGGTAAGCTCCCAGTTGACTGCAGCTTCTTACTTAGTTTCAGGATGATCAAGGAAAAATATTTTCAGTCCGATACTGAAGGAGAGGCGGTGGCATTTTGTCTGAATTTACTGATTGAGTTTTCAAACTACATATTTCAATTAAAGACCATAGTAATATTTTTTGTAGATGTAACACACAGAAGATGACTCAGAATAAATTCACTGTAGACAAATTGTTTTCTCTTGTTTTAAAAAACAAACAAAACAAAAGGGATAAAAAGAAAAAAAAATGAAGTTCTTGTTCTCAAGGGGCGGAGGAGACTTTGGGGGCATTGCAGCTGCGGAAAATGTTGTGATCTTTGGCCTCTGAGATCCCAGTTGCTATGTAGTATTTTGGGGGAGGTGGTATGCAAACAGTCTCAGAGCATCTCTTCCAGGGAGACAGCAGGAGAGGAGGAATCAGCACCCATCCTGTTTTAGTTATCATGGTGAAGGAGGGAAGAAAAAGTTCACATGCACATATGTGCTCCTGTATTGTACAGGTGCCAAAATGAATTTTATTACTCTATGGAACTGTGATAGCAAGTTTGGGTTAAAATGTACAGTATTTTGTAGTATTACATTCAAGATGTATGATTGTACAAACCCCTTTGAAATCTGTTTTTAATGGAGAAGAGTGGCAGATATAAAAGCTTTATTATATATTAAGGACTAAAACAGCCAAGGTGAAACTTGTTTGTTGTAATTGTTCTCTTGCATTTCCTTAACTTGCACAATAAGTATATACAGATGCAACCTGGATGTACAATTTACAGATCAGGAGTTAGTGTGCGTGGATGCTGCTTAGTGAAATGATTGAAATTGGGGGGGGGGGGTGTATACATAGATATACACACACGCACTCATCGACTAAATTTTGCTATTGCAAGGCCTAACCTTAATCCAGCACAGTCACGGGAAATTTTGCTACTCATGCCACGAGGAACAAGTAAAACTTAGAACAGCTCTGGAGACTGCTCAATGAGTCAAGCAAGGCAGTTAATATTTAAGAGCAAGTCACCCATATTAAGTAGTTAACAGTATTGCATTTCCTTGAGAAGATTATTTCTTGGAACATTAGGCCACAGCTACCCAAAAAGCTGTGGCATAAGCAAACATGAATTTACAGTTCATTGACTGCTTTCTGGTATCTGCCCACTGTCTCTGTAAGTTGTGTCAAAAAATTATGCGTGTTAGGATGATCTGGTCTTAAGTGCATTCCCATCCTTATTTTGTTCTGTTGAGTAGCTGTGCCTTATTAAAAACAACCTTTAAAAAATATTAGTGAAATTAATACTGATGCAGTACATGATACTTACAGATACCGAAGTAACTTTTATTTTGGTAATGTTCTGTTACTTATCTTACAAGAATGCTGATGTCTTTCCTGACTCCAGAAAATGAGTGTAATGTGTATACCCTGTAGACATCTTCCATTCCCGTAGTTTGTCTTATGTTACAAGTGTGCCTTTGCTGTTCCGATGAGCAGGCTCCAGTTTCTATCCCGTCGCGGCTGCGAGGAGGCAGAGCCATGGCTGGTGCCCGGCCCCAGAGCCCAGGGTGGGAGGTGGTGGTGGGGAGTGCCTGCATGGGACCTGGTGGGAGCAAGGCTTTGGGCAACGGGTATCTGCCCAGCCTGAGCCACCTCTGCAGTCAGTCCTTCTGGCCATACTGGGTTAAATCCACCCCTGTCCAAGAGCAAACAGTGAGAATCGATGGCTTTTCCCCACAGAAATCTTTTTCTCAGTATTTTATTTCATTAGCTGTGGGTTTTGGGATATTAACCTGCTAGTAGTTTCCATTCCTTAATACATTGTTGGTATTTTTAGTTCTCTGTAAAAAATGTCTGTCCTGCTGCTGGATGCTCAATATTTTTGCTTGCTATTTCCGCGAATCTCAAAGCACTGCTTTTTGTCTCCCTTAATATTTCCCTCACGTTAAACTTAAATAATTTGCCTTTTATCTTTGTCCATCTAGCTGCTTCTGCTGTCTTCCTTTAATTTCCTTTTTGAAGTATGGTCACATCATTGCTGCCAATGTCTGTTTTTTTTAACATTAGATATACAAGAGCTATTTTGGAGCACTTTTGTCTACTATGGCTTCACAGGTTTGATTATCCCAGTTGAGAACCAAAATTCACATTAAGGATTTGTGCAATATTCTCTACTGAGAACAGCAGACTCTCTCACTTTATTGAAATATGTGAAAGATTCCTGTAAGTGGATTATAAATATTTTCTATTTTGATGGATGATATCATTGCAAAAAGTTGTGTGTTTTTTTTTTCTTTTCTCATTAGATGGAATAACTGGTACAAATCATGCATGTATGAGACTAGTGATATGCCTCCATTGGTAGAAGCATTGATGTCAGGCGTAGAGTCAATGGTGTGCAGCTTTTTCAGTTGTGTGACATCTTTGGTTAAGGTGATAGCTGTGTATCATTTAGCATTGTATTCGTAATACTAATCTGAGTAGATGGACACATGCCTTCAAAACTACAAGGTTTTTATGCAATATGAGTCTGTCATAGCTGAAAAGGGAAAGAAAAGCTCGTGCTTGTGATCATTTAACACTTTTACTCCGTTGTGGAGGCTGAGAATCCCTTCACTGTGCTGGAGGATTGATGTTTGCTATCTAAAAAAGCTGTCAGAGATTCAGGGTGGCAATTTTTCCCTTTGTGGGAACAAAGAATGATTATTTATGGCATGTAGGTTGTTGTAGCTTAGACAGTTCTGATGGAGAGAAACAGGGCTCTTTCTCAGAGGCAGAATATACAGTCTCTTCTGATGACTTGTTTTTAGTGCTTTATTTTTAGACGTACTATTTTTAAACAGCTTGAAATACAAAAATATTTGCTTTTTTCCCAGTTAAAAGAAAACCCTGTTGTGACACAGCATGACTTAATCTTTTTATAGCCACATCAAATACGTGTTGCTTAGGATAATGTAAAAATATATAAACAATAACAGAGAGAAAAATAAGAAACCAGCAGTTGCTATTGTAACACAAGGTGGAGGGCAGCAAAAAAAATGTTCCGTAAATAAATGTCTCATCAATATTTATTCTTCATTCCAAACAAAACAATGATATGCTTTAACCATATTGTACCAAAAGCAGTACAGAAAGTATTTAGTACATAGACAGCATTTTACATCCCCTCTCTTGCTATTAATGTAGCAATTGTCTTAATCTGTTAATGAGCGGGTGTTAAGGGAGATGTACAAAGTGAGAGTAGAATTAATTTTTTAGGTTCTTTAGAGTCTTGATTGTTGTGATGCTGAAAACAATGAAGTTGTGGAGGTGGAGAGGACAGCGCTGCCTGGTCTCCAGCTAGGGGTGACTGGGTATGTGCTCCTGGAGCAGTACCGCTCGGGAACAGCAGGCTCCTAGCTCCCAGGGCATCTTGTGACTCATAAATATTATTCTTGTCAGTGCAAAGCAGATCTGATTTTGAGCCTAAAACAGCAACCAGATGAATAATAACAGCTGACAGCAATGTGGTACACGCCTTTAATTCCAGCATCACCCGCCCAGCCTCTGTTCCCTGTGCAATGCCAGCGCTGGGTTTGAAGCTGGGGGAGAACCTGAAGGAGGCCTGGCAGCCAGGTTGTTCAGCACCGTGTTTCCACTCCTGTGGCTTTCAGCAGGCTGCGGATGTGTTTTTGTTTTTTGTATTTTTCCTAATCTGCCAAGCTCATCTTTTTTCAGCTGCTTAAGCATGGCTAGTGCTGACACAAAGACTTTTATTTGCTTATTTGTCATACGATTAGATCACATCTTTCACAGAGAAAACCTAAGAGAAGCCGAGTTGCCATTTGCTGACATCTGAACTGCAGGGCTAGGCCCAGGGATGGACTGCAAGCTCTGCGCCACTCTGTTCGCCCAGACCTGGCCATGCTGAAGGGGAGCTCTGTTCGAGTCAGAGTCCTCACTGTGGCTAGTGCTGACATGGGGGTGAGGAGCATTTCCACCCACCCTTGTTCTGCTGGCTCTGAAGGTCCTGGTCAGTCCCAGGAGACCCAGCCTGCCCCTGTCCCCCTGAAAGCCTGTTGTGTGAAGGGCAATAGAGGACAATTAGCAGCTGAGTGAACGAGTCAGAGTCCTCCCTGCAAAGCAGGTTCAGGTTAAGGTGGACACCCGGGAACTAGCTCAGGTGTCAGTTGTCTCCAGATTAAAGTACTGCATTTTTATGTGGATGGTAGAAAGCTCTACCTAAAATAACGGTTAAATTATCAAGAAATATGCAATAAGAACAAATCATTAGTGTTTGCAACGTGGGCAATTGAAAAGCATTGTAATTTTTAAGTATGTATTCTTGACCTGTAGGAAATATGCAGCCTGGAGAAATATGAAGAGGTGCTTTTACAACTTCTATGATGTGGAGATTTTTCAGATTATTTATGACAAGAAGATTTTTTTAATTTTTTTTTTTTTTTATTTCAAAACTATATAAAAACCAGCTAACTGTTAACTGGACAGTTGGAGGTGACTGAAGTTGATAAATTCAGGTTAGACTCTGTACCCATCACTCATGCTTGGAAGAGCAAGAACTTGGGGGTAGGTGGTGTCCTGTAGAAACAGCACTCCCGGTTTTGTTGCCCAGACCGAGGAGGTGCTAGCCACTGCACATGGCCATCCTACTGGCGTTAGGTTCCTGCAGAAGGGAGAGTGAGGGCAAAACTTAACCACAGATGCAGTTAGGCGCTACTAGAGCTTGGGCTTATTTACAGATCCTAGGGAGAAGTCTGACGACAATCTGCTGACAATTTGCTTCTTCTTGGTATATGATATATTTGCACGTAAGGCCATGCTTCAAGGGAAAAAATAGTCCCAAACTACTGATAGAAACTGTCATTTAAAATGCAATACAGTATTAATGTTGACTACTTAGTGCTACCACTCTCAGCTATCTTCTGTGCTGTTGCTTTCTTGGGTATTTAGGCTGCTGCTCTTTTACTGAATCTCTCTGCATCCTTTTCTGTGGGACTGTATGTGATGCTGTAGTACTGGGATTTGATTACAGCTGCCCCTTGAAGCACGTGTGGGTGCTGGGGAGAGCTGCTCTGGGACAACCTGAGCCTTCCGAGCACAGCCCCTCTTGCTTGCGTCCTGGTTCACATCGCTTTTGGGAAAGAACCCTTTGGCCTGGAAGCATGTGTGGCTTAATCACAGGCAGCAGCAGTCACTGACTTTTATAATGCCTGATGTTTGGCAAACTGTGCCCGTTTTCTATATCTCCTGTGGCTTTGTGAGCTTTGGCCTCTTCTCATTGGACTTACTGGGTCCGATGCCATAGCTTCCAGTGGGAAGCTCGATTGTTTTCCCACTCTCATTACTTACACATTTTCTGTAGCTTACTCTATTATCTGATATAAAGTGCATTCTCTCTAGGTTTGTGAAGAATGTAATTCTCTGTATTTATTTTGATACTGTACCTTTTTGTTCATCCTGCTAGTTCCTTTTTCCAAGTGTAATATCACAAATAGCTGATGAGTACACTGAAGGAAATTATGCTTCTGTGTTGGACTTCTGTTTTCTCCAATAACCTGACCTTCAACTGATTTTTTTTTTTTTTTTAGTCACATGTTTTATAACAATTTCCAAAAATGAATTGGTTCCTTCATTTTCTCAGTGCTTCCAGATCACTACTTCCATTGTGCAAATACAAAATTGTCGAGGTTCATGCAAGCTAAGCTCTTTAAGATTATTATTTTATTGAAGCTCATGTAAGATTGTAGATGTTCAAGAAAATTGCTGAGACTGTGTGTTTTCAGACATGTTTACCCCTGCTGTACTATATTTACAAGAATTCTTTTCATTCAAGTTTGAAACTGTTCTTCAGCGTTATTAGCAGTGACGGAGCTGCATCAGTGGTAGCAACGGCTGGAGACTTAATAGAAGACACACAAAGCCTACAAGTCCTGTGCTGTCTGCAGTAGTAAAATGGGTCTGGTTTTAGTGCAAGTTAATTTAACTTGAGATAAAAATCCAATTGGTCCTTGATTTTTATATCAGTCAAGTTGCAGTGAGGCTAGCCTATAGGTCTGACTCCATTTGCTAATATACATTATGCATTAAATCTGTGTCTTTGTTAGTTTTTGTTGGGTTTTCCCCCTAACATGCAGTGAAGTTTGTGGAAAAACATAGTTTGAGACGATGGCGCTTTTAGCCAACCCAGCTTAAAATAAGAAGCTTGTGCTTCCCTAACTCCATTTGTAGTTCCCACTCCTGTGCCTGATGTCGGTACAAGTGCTTCACTATTTATAGGAGGAAACAAGTGGGCAGACGCACTTTTGTGTTAGTGCAGTTGCACAGCTCATTTGCTGGTGCAGATGTGTGTGCACAGAAAAGTTGCACCTCTGTAAATTGATAATGTCCCATTTCAAAATACTTGAGTACAGCCAAAATGTTCAGACTACCTACATTTTCTCATTTAGTCTGTAAAATTATGCATTATTTTATTCTGCAAAATACTTTGTAATAATAAATGTCATGTATTCTGATGAATGTGACTTGATCCCCTAACATATTTGAGAGCAGTGTAGCTAAATCACATAGTTTGAAAATGTGGTATTAAAAAATGAGGGGAATACACAGAATTGCCATTTTATTGGCCACATCTTCCTTGACAGCGTACTTGTTAATTTCTCAGTGCACGATGTGTTAATTCCAGCCTCAATCATTTCAGTATTGTGTAAACAAAAATTAAAGTATGAAAAAAGGCAAGAGGGCAGAACTCCATTAGCATTATCTGCCAGGCTGCAGAAAATAGGTTTCAGTTTGGAGAGCAGATTTATAGCTGAATTAATAGCATTGATCTAGACTGGATTTAAATTTCTTTGTGGGTGTATCCATAGAACCTAACTACTGTTCAAATCAGCTGGGAAAAAAAAAACAAACTGATTTTGATTTCAAGTGGTACAGCTTGAAACGTCACAAGTTTTCAGTAGCATCCTGAAATAGTAGTCTGTGTGTGTGGGGAGAGTCTCTCTTTAGATGTGAGCTCAGCCTGGTGACTAACGGATCAGAAGGGACTGTGAAGACGCGCAGCCGACAAGCTGTGTAATGTAATCTGTGGAGCATCACTGAACACGTACTGCATCAGGCTCACAGCTTCTGGTTGAGTAACAGCATATGTGCAGGTTTCACTTAGAAGACTGTGAAGGATGGAGAATACACTGTACTCAGTTTAATAGCTCAGGTGGTAATTATCCTTACTACTAATAGTTGCAGTGTAGGAGTGTAATTTTTGCATCCTTAGCTTCCAATAACTGCATCTCAGTTGGAATATTTCGGGTTTTTTGGCTAGATTTAGAAATGTCTGCCATCTGAAATCCCTTCTGCATGTAGACATTCAAAAAGCCCCACAGCATTACCCTATAATTTTTGAGGGTAGTGCAATTCTTTAATAGTTCAGAGGCAAGTCAGTTGACATCATTTATGTATGCTTTTATGTAATGCCTGGATCAAGGAATAGAGCTCAATGGAAGAAAAATATTTTGAAGTTGGAGTTTGAATAGATTTGCTTCAGTTATTTGATGCCAATGAGAAACATAGTAACCTTTCTGATGCTTGTTGTGCTTTTCTGCAGGGCAGCAAAGGACACTACAGATACCACTGGCAGAGCCACAATGTCAAGCACAGTGGAGTGGATGACATGGTCCTTCTTTCCAAAATCACAGAGGATTCCATAGTGGAGAACCTAAAGAAACGATACATGGATGATTACATTTTTGTATCCTTTTATAGTGTTGCTTTTAGTGGGGTCCTGTGGACTTGCTGAGCCAATGTGAAACTAATTGTATGTATGTATTCTATTTAAGCAGATTACTCAAAGATGCTGAGCATTTTATGTGACAGTTCACCTGAGATTATGCAAAATGCTTTGTAAACTGAGGTCATTATGAGGGTTGAAATTAAGATCTGAAAAATTATTTAAAGGTATTCTTTCTGATATTTGTAATTGTTCTTGCCATTGTTGAAGATAGGCCTGTAGCTGCATATATTTATATATCCACTTGACCCCTGAAGCTACTGCAGTAATGATTCTTCTAAAAGCAAGAATTAATGAGTTTAAGGCACGTATACGTGTTCTTGATACCATGTTGTCTTCTATACCTCCCAGATTCTAATGCTTTCAAAGTAGCATTTCTTCTGTGGCATAACCCCATTTACAACTTATTCTGGAATTGTTAATACTGTGAACCATGAGATGATGGAAACAAATTAACATGTGAACATCTGTAAATCTACAGTGTTCACACTTAAATTTTTTTTTTCTATGATTAATGAAAACATGAAATATTTAAATATCTGAACATACAACCTAATAAGAAAAACAGATTTCAGCACCAAAGGTTTGTTGGTTTTTGTTTGGTTTTTTTTTAAAATTTAATGTCTAGGGAATTCCTTGAGATAAGAATAGTCACTTTTTTCATTTTTAGCTTTCACAATATAACATGAGCTACAGTAATGAATTTGGTAAATACTACTCAACGTGATTTGTACTAGCAAGTGTTACTGTTTCTTCTGCTGCTGTAGGCAGGTTTTCATACTTCCTAGTTGTATCTGGAGAATAGCTTCCTTGAAGAGTTTAACTTTTTTTAGCAGAAAGGGAAGGAAATATAACATGTCCTGGCTATTTGCCGTATATTCAGATGGTTAAGAGCTAAGTAACAGCTCAATTTAGCGAGGAATGACAGAGGAAGATTAATGTTGCAGTTGTGCTGACGTTTCCGTCCCAAACTGCAGGGGTTTGTAATATGTGTGCGCGCATGGGTTTGGATCCTCTGTTCAATAAGGTACCACACTGTTATTAAATTTGTCTTATAGAAACGTGATAAAGTTGCACAATATTTCTCAAACTGTAGTCCTCTTCCTTTTAGTAACATGAGCGCTTTTGTCCCTGTGGAACGCTGCATCTTCCATGCAGTACATTCCCAAAGTCTTCAGTGCTCTGTGCTGAATAAATGGTTTTACACTTTTTTTTCTTATAAAAATAAGTGAGATTAGTATGGAGAAGGCCTTTCTACTGAAGTAGGAATGAGTATGTTTTCCAAGGGTACTTCTGGTCACATGGGGGATTAGAGTCGTCTTTTAAAGCATTTTAATTCCTTTGTGTAGGGAGAAAAGACTCCTTTTGCAGTTCTGAGAAGGCTTTTCATTCTAAAATGGAGATCATCTCTTGAATCTTTCAATTGTTTTTATGTTCACCCATGAATGAACATTTCTCTCTGCTATGTTGCATAGAGATTACCGAATGGTCCCAGAAAATGCTGGTATTGTTTACCAACAGAAAACTGTCACTTCGGATGTTTATACTGACACAATGAATGCTTGATTTATTATACTTGAGACCCAGATGTTGTCACTTTTCTTTGAATTAAATTGAAAAATGTATGAAGAAAGCATTGCAGATTAACAGTGCAGAAATTATGTTCATCGAGTTACACTTCTTCTCTAATGTGTTACCATTTTGTGCTGTGGTGCCACAGTAAGAGATTCTTACATAGGATTATCTAGCAGGATAAATTTGTTAATTTTGCTACTTTTGTACGGAAAGCTTACATAGTAAGTTTGCCTATGAACAATTCCAGATTGTTAAATGAAATCTGCAGTACAACATTTTGGACTTGTTGACATGGGTATGCTGCCAACTCCCAGCTCAAAGAACCAGTCCTGCCTGTAAAGTAGCATCCGTTGCTTCATAAGTGTATACTGCAATTCGAATTCCCAAGGTTTCTAAAGTATTTTGTAAATGTAGGTACATGTGCAGTACATTCAAAATATTGCAAAAAAGCTTTCTGGGACTAACAATAGCTTGAAACTGAGTGTCGTCTTATGGGGCAGCCTGCAGGATGAGACTCCTAGAGACTGTTAATAGTTACACTCATAAAATAACACCACATACTGCATTACGTAATTCCCTTAGCTCCCCAGCTAGTACATGCAGCTGAGTAATTGTCCAGTTTAGCTCAGTAGTGGCTGTTTCCATCCAACTGTGCATGCTCAGCACTATCTCTGTGAGATCAGAATGTGTCACTATAGCTTGTTCTGCAAAAGTCAAAACAATCGTTTCTTGTACTGACAATACGATCTCCTCAGTTACAAAGCAGTAAACCAGTTTAAGTATGCCATTTCCTTTCTGTATTTTTATTCAAGGTGTGTCGTGTTGGGGCCTCTAATACATGTTTCTGTATTTAGTTTGTCCTAAAATAAATATGTTGATAATATGAAAGTATCCCATTGAAAAATATGTTTATATTCTTGTAAGCCTGCTAATTTAATTATTATTAAAATTGTTGTAAGCTGTGGGTTTTTTACTATTACTTGAAGCTGTGCTGTATTATGTAATAGATGTAAAAGTTACTTGGCAGTCACTAATGGTAAGGTAATAGTTTATGAAACTGTAGTTACCTTAACTCCTTTTGAATACAGACATATATTGGCTCTGTATTAATCTCTGTGAATCCTTTCAAGCAAATGCCATATTTTGGGGAAAAGGAAATTGAAATGTACCAAGGAGCAGTAAGTAAAGCGGTCTAAAATGTACTGTGGTATTCAGGGGCATGTAAATATTATTCTACACAGTTAAACTCTTGGAAGCATTTGTTTCTGGGTTTTGGTAGCATTGTACTAGCCTGGGAGAACTTGGCTGATATCCATTACCATATATTGAGTCTTCAGATTGAATTCTCTGGAACACAGGATTAGTATTTCAAGAAAATACTTGTATTGATTAACTCTACTCCATATCAAGTTTCTCTCCTTCACATGTCCCTCCTCCTGCAAAGGCAGTTTTTAAGCTGTTGTATGCTTAAAGTGTGGTGTGCAATACAAAATGGCCATTAGTGGATTTGGAGACCGTGACTTGAGAACTCTCAAACTGGCTAAGAACAATAAAAAATTGAGATGCCAAAATTAGATCCCATTTTTGAAAATACAGCTTGAAGAGTGAGTCAACACAAGGACATTAGGGACTTCAAATTCAGTTTCCTGCTCTGCTTGAGTTGGGCATGTCCATAGGTTTGGGAAACCATTTGGTTTGCGTGGACTGAGTGGATGAAAATGAGACATACAGCACCAGGCTCTGTGTAGCAGTTTAGTTCATTGATTGTTAGCGTATGACCACTGGTGGAATGGGCTTAAATTATATGAGTTTCTCTTGGACAAGTAATATATTTCAAGCACAGACCACTTTTAGAACTGGGTGTTTACGATAGTTTAGGAGAAAGCTATGGATGAGAGAAAGATCAGTAACAAAACCCACAGACATTGGTTTGTTTTTATTAAACGAACAAAAAAATTCCTGGGGAAAATTCAGTAGAAAGTGGGATTCAGAATTGTTTTTCCAGGAAAAGAGTTCTTCCAATTTAAATAAAAATTTTTATTGCTCTTCCTGCATTGTTGAAGGCTGTGTTGAAAAATTATTCTCTGTTTCACCTCCTAGGCACAATATGAAAACCCACCACATATTTATGCTCTTGCAGACAGCATGTACAGAAACATGATTATTGACAGAGAAAATCAGTGTGTCATTATTAGGTAAGAAAAATATTTTATCATCTTCTTTTGGTGTTTTAACTTCAAGAAGCAGAAAAGCTTATTTTTTATTGTATTGATAAAAATCTTCTGTGTCCAGGACCACTAAACATTTTGGGGTTTTCTAGGATAGCTACTACTTTCTGATCTTCCATTTGTTTTTCCAGTGAAATCCTGAGGACAGCTTAACCACAAGAAATCTCTTTCCCACATAGCCAGCTTCATGCCCAATACCAAAACTGCAGTAACTTGAATGACTACATGAGGCAGCTATAACAGCTATAGCAGCCACAGATACTGTTAAATCCAACATTCTCACATTGACTGCGTTTACCATGCTTTGGTTTTAGTACTGTTTCTTTTTTTTTTTTTTTCTTCCCCTGTTAAAAATAAATGTACTTTTGTTCCTTTTGGAATTTTGCTTGCATTCAGTCAGAGACAAAAGGAGGAGAGAGATACTGGAAAATTAATTTTGTCTTCACTATTACTCTATTTTAATTATCAGGCTGAGGCAATTCACTGTAGAATTATTACTGAACTTTTTTAATGACAGGCATTACAATCAAAGTAAATTTGGGTTCCAGAGGTATGTTTTGTTCTCATCTGTGGGTTTGTAGATGGTTTATAGATGATAAAAGAAATTGTGCAGAGAGCAGGAACTGCAGGATGTTTGAGCTGGTTCACTATACCTCTCCTGACTGTCCTTCTTGCATGGAAAACTTCAGAGGTTCACTGTAGTGCACCTGGAACTGCACTGTACCTGTTGCAGTGGTCTCCAAAGTGGGTGCATGCCTCACAGGGGCTGCCCAATGAAATTCATTGGGATGCGGGAAGAAAGTATTAGAACTTCACTAGCAGATGTATGTGACTTATAAACAGATAAAGTATATACATACATTGGGAGTGTGTGCTCAAACTTTTTTTAATTACGGTGTGTGCGATTAAAAGTGTTTGGAGACCACTGGTCTTTGAGATTTTCCCAAGAACCAGGGAAAGGTGAGAGGAGAAAAAGGAAAAATAATTTGAAGGGAAACTGTCAACATTTTATTAATAACAGCTTTTCTTAAGCTTTCTATCATTTCTGTGTGGAACATGCTGAGAGGCATCGCTATGAATTTAACTGCCGTTGAATTTAACAAACAAGAGATTTCAAGACTGAATGTTTTCTTTGTCCAGGGGGCCCTCTCTGGTCTTTTCCCTGGGATGGCTGTGTGCCCTGCAATGTCACAGCCCTGAGGGGACAGGACATCAGTGGTGATCAGATCAGATGCCGTGTAACTTAGTGTGCTTGATCCCTTAGGCTGGAACCTGCCATTTTGGAAATGGTGGATGGTCATTGATGTTTAAGCTTAAATGCCCTTGCACCAGCCACGTACTAATTTAATGTTGTTGCGGGAGTATTATAAAGAACTAGGCTTAGTATGTGGGTTTTACATGTGGAGCTGCTCCATGTGCCAGTGTTCCTGAATGATCCAGTGCAAAAATAGGGTTCATATTAATATATCTCACTAAGCTGCCATGAAAGATTGCAAGGAATAATTGTCTGAAAGTTACAGTCATTGTTTTATTTCTTTGAATCTATGCCTGGGGGCCATCCAGGCAGAGCTTTCCTGAGTGACGTATTATAGTGCACAAGTGTGTCCCTCTTAGTATCAGCAAAGTATATGTAGGTATGGGGAAACCGTTGATTTTACATGTAGGAAGATCAACCAGGTGTTCAGTTTGCTGCGCTGAGCTGTACTCCTGTAATGGCCTCCCTGTTCCACCCCCGTGGCTACAGCAGGGTGCCATATGAAACAAAATGCCCGGAGCTCATATTCCTGTCTCGTATATCTGGATTGTTCCCGGAGCTCAGTCTTCCTTTTTGGAAAACTGATGCCTGTTGCCATGCTGAAGTTACTAGTCCCATTTAGTCAAATTCAGACCTGTTAGGAATGGGTAAAATTGGGATTTGTTTTGCTTTTTGAACAAAGTAATGTCCCAGAGCCTGTGATGTTTCACATGAAGCTAAAAGTATAGTGAAAATCTTTAGAGTGTAGTGAATGGTGATTAAAAAAAATGTATTTTTTGATCCATTGCTAGTGCCCCAAAGTGCAGTGAATGCAGAGTCACATTTTTCAGAGCACTGAGATGCAGACTTACAGGTTTAAATTCACGTGAGAATTCTTGTGCTTGAATGATGGATGACACGCTCTTTGGAGTGTCTGCATTTTGTATGTGCAAAGTGAATTTTCTCTCAGTGTGTGCACAGCCTATTCAAAATCTGCTGGAGTTAATTGAAATCTATGCAAAACTGAAACAAGAAAAATCATGTTTGCCAGGGACATTTCAGAGAATTCCTCTTCCTTTCTGCATGTTTATTTTTCCTATGATTATTCTTATTACAAACACTGTAAAAACTGCAGACTAGACTTATAGGTAGTTTTTGTGATTAGATTTTTTGGGGACATTGAGAAATTATTGTTATGAAATTGAGTAACTCAGCCATTCACAAAATTGATTTTGTTTGGTTGATGTTTTAATCCTTTCAGCCACATTCCATTTAAACTGTTCAGATACATTCCGTATTTTCTGATTTTAATGTCATCGCTATTTCTAATGACTAGAGTTGGTTTAAGAATGAAGTTTCTTGGAGTTTGGGTTTTGTTTGCTTACATTCTATTTTATAGACCAGAAGGGAGTGAAATTGCTGGCAGAGTAGAAGCTCCCAAGATGCTGCAGCTCTTGAATGAAATGAGTGTTCTAGCTAGCTTCACGTCTACCACCATACCATCAGTTTCACTTAATAGCTGCCAAGAGCTTTACCGTTTCTGCCCCTAAACTGCTGATTCTCAAAAAATTGAGATAA